GGTGGTCCCCCTTCCCTTCCTGCCCCCCCCAACCCTTGGCACTCTCAGTCAGGTTATCACCATGCAGATTTCAGTAATGGTCTTTATTGAATGAAATTGCTCTTTATTACACACAATGTTAATGAGAAAGGGGAACAAAAACTGCAATTTCAGGCAATTAATGTCTTCTTCCTTGGCATCCCACAGATCAAAGTCTTTCTCCCCTGCTTAAGGAATCCTCGGGAAACTCAGGGCACTCACTGGTGCCAGGCATGCTTGGCTGGGTACGCACTACCACCCCTCTGATGGCAGTTCGAAAGCAATGCGATGTCTAAAAGGTGATCATTCTACATGCAAACATGCTGACACCTTTGACGGGGCACAAGTGCACCCTTTGGCCTTCCCTTTTATCATCAAGAGTACCACAGAATCCAGAAGGGAGCTAACTGGGAACTCTCTCTGACATGCTGCAGTTCTCAGTCAGTGCTGCACCAGAGTATCCATTCCCCAACTCCTGTTTCCACTTAGGTATGGGGACATGGCTCCTCAAAACATCAATGCTTCCTCATCTACTCAGTTGGGATAATAATTCCTTACTTAGTGCATCTAAGCAATGTAACCTATGCTAGCCTCAGGCAGCTCTTCCCTAAGCTGGAAGCTCAAGAATGATGGAGCTCTAACCAGGTCTGGGATGAGCCCAGACCGCTAGACTCAGTGGAAGCTAAGCAAAATAGAGGATGGAGGTAGCTAACCTGCTCTTCTGTTTTAATGCAATACTAAGAATTAAGTATACAGCATGAAAAAGTGCATCAGGCAGAGAGAATGTTTTAGAGCTGTACATTGTTCTAATAAGGGATGTGCAGCCTCCTGGATACAGTTCTAATGTTTCTAGCATGATCTTCTCCTGAGTAGATATAAACAATCAGACTAAATTGTTCAGGGCTTACCCGACAGGAAACAGGTCACCTGGAGACTGCTTTTTACTATTCAAATTGATACATGTTGTGGCCTACACTATAATTAAAGCAGAGCCTCGAGTGGGGAAAAGTCAGCAATTTAACCCACCAGATCATGTAATCCCTTACACAGTAAGAGCAAAAGCATGCCCAATGCAGTGTATGAGACAGAGGGGTGAAAAACGTGAAAAAAAACTATCTTGGAAGCTTGTGCAGAGACCTAGCCCAACCTGATTCTTGTCCTCACTGCCTCAAAGTGGGCTAGAGAAGACCTGCAAGCAAGTGAGGACAATACCTCCTCACCACACCCCTTTTCCTCCTTGGCGCCTTGGAGGTGTCATACCTCGTCAGGACAGTGCCTTGCTACAACACTTCAAAACAAAAACGGTGCCTTAAAATTATGAGTTTTCAAATCTTTCAGAAGCAACCATGAAATATCAACTATCTTCTTTTGCTCCATCTCAGGATATTGTGTCAACGGTGCCAAGTCACTTCCATGACCTTGCTTAATAAGTTACAGCTAACTACCTCAATGTAAAGACTGTGGATACACTATTTACACTATCAGAGGGGCAGCAAAAGCTCGAGAAACAGAAAGAGATGAAGCGAGTGTTCTGTATTTGGTGTTCTAGTCTAAAACATAAGCAACAGACATGTTTCCCCCAGCTGCAATTCATCAGTACAAAACAGCTTGTCATCTCATGCAGGAAAAAAAAGTGCCGAGTCCCTAGGTGAAGCAGAAATGCAATTAGTTTACATTAAGAGTAGCCTGCTACAAGTACAACTTCACATAAATTATACGCAATCTGAAAATCTAGGTTCAGGAATTTACCATAATAACTCCAGATAAATCCAAGACACTATCTATCCTTCTAAACTATTTTAACAGACTGCGCACATTCAGCTATAACAACTACTGCATCTCAGGACTGGAAACAAACTCTCTTAATTCTTTAACAGTCTGTACTGACCAATTTAAAGGAACAGTGTTTCTTAATGTCCAAGCGCTAGAAATCTCCTGTCCCAATTAAAATGTACAGTAGTTTCATTTTTCTAACAGTAAATCCATTTGGTATCACTTTTTCTATGGGCTGACACTCTCCATGCTAGGACAACTGCACTATAAGAAAAGGGCGTTGAATGATTTGGGGCTGATACTTCAAGCCTTGACAGACAAAACCTACTAATTGTTAAGTTACCAAATTCTACCTCTGTTGGCCATGAATAACCACAAATAAATCAGTAAAGCTGCATGGACATGGAAGGAATTTAATACCCTAGATTCACAACTAAAATCTGAACCCATTCAAGTGAACACTGTCTGCCAAATAGATTTCTTCAATGTAAATGAGATGATTAATATTAGGAGACTGTGAAAAAAATGCCAAATTATGCATGGGGAAACTCATTTCCACTAACTAGAAGATATATTTTGCATAGTTGCACTTTCTTAACTTTTTCTGCACCAGTCCATATAAATCCTACTGAGAAGCAACAATCCTTACCTAGAAGAATTATGCCTATTGAAAAAAAACAGAGCTGAGAGTCAGCATTTATTCTGTTTTTGGTCTTAGAAAGTATCAACTCTGCCAAATAAAATGGTGTTTTTTCTGTTTTCCAAACTTAACTATTAGCATCTGGAATGACATTCAATTCACATACGTCAACATACTACTATCAAATAAATCTTTCCATCTAAGGTGACTTTCAAAGAGCTCAGTCAAATCAATGGGCATCCATGATACATTTTTCATACTGGGTAGAAAAAAATCCTTATTTATCTTGACGTGATTTTTAATTATGTACAGTGTAACAATAGCATCATAGGCTTGAGAAGGACCTTGAGGATTATCTGATCCAAAAGCCTACACAAATGCAGGAAAATGCTATTCCTAAATCACCTGTCCAGCCTCCTCCTGAAAACCTTCAAAGAAGGAGATTCTGGCAGATATTCGCAATCCTATAGCCAAGTTAAAATCTCTACAGCCAATTTTCCAAGTGGTCTCCATATTTGCAGAGGTACTATCAAAACCAATGCATTAAGTTTTTCAGATCCAAGTTCTTGTGTGCATAAAACTTAGCTAGGCACTCAAAGTGTATGCCTTCAGGCAAATCAGAAGTAGGGGTACACCGATAAAGAATTTTTTGGCCAATACCAGTGGTCAATTATTAACCAGCTGTATCAGCCAGTACCAATCTGATAGCTGATATGTAGTCTGACAGCTTGGAGAGCAGCATCCGGCCGGTAAGTCTGGGGAAGAGGCGTGGAGAAGGGAAGAGGCAGATTGAGGCCCTCCACAGTGAGGGAGAAAATGAGGCTAGGGCAGAGACAGTGAATGCACCCCCGGGAGCAGGATGGACCTGCAGGTAGCTCATCTGGGGGGCATGGATGGAAGTGGGGGAAAAGGTGGGCAGCTCCTGCTGCTGCGCACACCCAGGGAGAGGTATGGGGGGCATGTGCCCCCCAGATTTGTACACGGGGCAAGGGCAGGCTGCCTGCTGGAGGCTTGGGGTCAGGGGCTGCACCAGCCTCTTCCCAGAGGGGTGGGGATGCGGGTGCAGACTGGGCCAAGACTGCTCAGGGCAAGCGGGATGGCATCAATAGGGAAGGTTACAGATCTGGGGGGCACATACTTCCCACAGGGGTGCAGGCACCAGCGGGAGCCACCCCCACTCCCCGCCCCCAGGATAAGCCACCCACAGCTCTGGTCCCACACCCTGCGCCGGCTGCGCAGTCCCCTGCTCCAGCCCCAATCCCATTCCCTCCCTCCCAATGTGCATGGCTAGTTTGGCAGGCGCTGCATGCAGCACACACACCTGCATGAAACTGGCTTTGCACATCGCATCTGCTGCACAGGGTCAGCCTAGGTTGGAGAGGATGGATCACAGGGTTCCACAGGCCAGATCCGGCTCAGGGCCTTGATCTGCCCCCCACCCCCAGATTTATCGGCCAGATGCTGCTCTCCAAGCTGCCTGGCTGCATTCCTAGCCACATGCACAGTGGTTGCATGCATGCCTGCAGCATTTATCTGTGACATTATCAGCTATGCCAGAAAAAGCTGACTGCCAATAACGTCAATTTTCCTTTTATCACTGCTGATCCAATACGGACCGATATATCTGTGCACCTCTACATAAAAGGTGCACTGCTCAATTTTCATACAGTATCCAATTTCCAATACAGAAAATCAGGCAGAGAGCTGCCTGGAAAAGCTTGGATGTATAAATTGTAACTGCACATTTCAGTAGCCAAACGAGGCTCCTTTCATAACTCGACCAAAATATTAACAAAGAAAAATAAACAAGGAAAGTATTTGTAAAGAAAGTTATTCATATTTGTAGCATCACCAGCAGCAAGGACTTGTTTAAATATATTCCAACATAACGGTTCAATATTTATTGGTAAAAAATGAGTTGACTCAAGCTTTTTGGAACCTAAAGCCAAACAGTGTAAATCTGCACTCTGCATTGTACATTTCTTTATAATGGATGACTGTATGTATTAAAAAAATAAGGGTTTATGTTCATGAACAAGCCATCATTTCTCAAGTACTATACCTGCTTAAAGCAGGTGTCAGAAGATTCACGAGCATATTGCACTTCCATTACCTGAAAAACTTTTTCAGAAGCCAAAACTTTTTTACTTGTATATAACTATCCGAACGGGTGGGAGGGGGAGCACACCTGAAATGAAACATTTACCGGATACCTTTACCTTGTGCCAAATTAGAATTCTTAAAAATTAAAAATGTCAGTATATTGCAGATAGAAACCTTTTATTTAACCTTTCATCTTAGTGTGAATATTCACAGCACTTTAAAGCAATATGTATTTAAAATGGAAACTCCAACTCAGTCATACCAACACAAAGACCCCTGCTTTCATTAGTGAAAAGTCAATAACTGCCTGGTGTACAAGCTTGACATGCATTATAGAGCTTTAGTGAAAAAGCTCTAATATGCCAAGTCCTGTCTACCCACCATTTTTGTTGTTTGCAAATGTTACAATCACAAGTTTTTAAAGTATAATAAAGCCAAACCAGTCCCAGGTATACTCAGCACTTACCACTGCCTAGTCTTAGAAGCAACACATCCTGGAGCCTTCTGTTCAAGTCTCTGAGCTCTTTCATTTCTGAAACTAATGCCCCATACTCCTTTAACTTTTTTGCCTGCTGCACAAGCTGTCTTCGTGTTCGCTCAAGTTCTTGCTGAATGTGTCTCATTTCTTCTTGTTGCTGTTGGTAACTCCTCAACAATTCTTCATAGAGAACCCGAGGAACAACAGCATCGTCCATACTGTTAATGCCTTCTGAAGTCTCCATAAAGGTTTCCTCAGGGCTGGAATTATTACTGAGACTCATCCCATTTTGCTTTTCAAGGCGAGCAACAACTGCTTCAATGCTTTTGTGTGCGCCTTCACTTTGTTTCCTCCCATCTTGTCTCTGTATGTTACAATAAAACACCATGTTAACAGAACAGGAACACATGACACAACATCAACTATAATTCCACCAACGTATAAAACAACTAAGGCTCATTTTTCCAGAAAGATGAGCCAAGTGCCACTCGCAAGAATGCTTATCTTAATTCTTGTGACTAGTTCCATAACTATTATTGTGCATGTAATACATTTAAATGTACATGCAAACTTCTGCTAGAGATCCTTCTTGGATCTACTGACTCAAGGTATATACAAGTGGGATGTGCCATGGGCAGAAAAGAGAGGAGAGAGGCCCCAGGCTCCTTCCTTTTCAAAATTTGTTTGGCTCTTAATATTTACAATATCTGTAACATTTGTATTTCCTTATCTGGGAAAGGGAAAGAAGGTACTGATTATGTTTTTGTAAGTCGACTATAACTGCACAGGAAGTGGTAGAAGCATATAGTATTTCATGAACAGAAGGCTTCTCTTTCTGAACTTTACACAGAAAAGACTTCCATTAACAATCTTCCATCCCTACTATCCGTGCCCTAGGATAGTAATGCTGCTTGTGAGCCTTGTGGGGGAATTTAGAATTATGTAAATTAGAGATAGGATACATCTAGTCCCATGCCCCAAATCTAGACTTCTCCTATGGCATTGCAGCGGCTTCACTTCCTGTCACCTCTCAGTATCCATTTACCTATAGTCTTTCACATAATAATCCATATCTTGTACAAATAAACACGCACAACTGTTAAGGGGTCTGGATAGTAATATTAAAATTACCAGCATGGGCAAAAGTCGCTTGCTTACTGGCCAAATATGGATAAAGCACTTGAACTTCCAAGCAAATACCAGGAAAACAAATGTTAAGAGACAAGGAGCTGATACTATCAATTCCCATACCACAATGTCCATGAGTAAGTAATGTGGCAGAAAATTAGATTACTTGATGGTATGCTTGCTCCATGTATGCTCTAAAAAAAGTGCCAGTTCACCATAGACATTTACTAGTATCATTCCTGCAGCTGGAAAACACATAAAGCCACAGAACAATATTTTATTCTTCTAGGTTGGCAGGGTTTAAAAGGAGTTATTTGATAACAAAACATAAATATGTTTGCACAGTGGGTTTCTGGCATCTGGACCCAAGGGGACAACTGGCACTTTTCTCAACGGGATACAGTTCTGAGTTTCTCTCCACACCCACCTCCTCACGTGAAAAATTCACAGTATCCTGTTCAACTCTTGTCAAGCTAAGTGCAACAGGTTATGAAGTGCCACCTGAGAACAGCTGCTTAACATTCATATAACTGTGGTGACTTTTAAAGTATTCTGGACTCAAGTGAAACAAAATTGTTCCAAAAATCCCTATCTGCAGTTAAATTTGTGCAGACTGTCCAAAAAAAATAATGCTCAGCTGCACATGAATCACATTTCTGAAAAACTGATCTGTAAAGCAATCAAAAATACTCACCCCATTCCCCTCCCCTAGACTTGACCCAATTCCACCAATACAAATGGAAAGCCAGCCTGGAATTCTTAAGCTGTGATGTGTGTATGTACTCCAAGTACTTCCAAAAAGAAATAAAAAAGAAAGAAAGGAAGAAAGAAAGAAAAGGAAAAAATAAATTAAAAGGGAAAAAATAAAAAAAAGAAAGACTTCAGTACCTTACTGTGTCTAAGCTCCACATCTTCTTCCCCATAATCTGTAACCTCCCCAGCTTCTTCTATATGATTGAGAGAGAGTTTGGGGATTTTAATTTTCTTCTGCATCACACTGTTTTCAAGGTCTGTTTTGTCTTCTAAAATGTATATTAAAAATAAAATGTTGTTACATTAACAAAAAGTGTTCTTAATTCCAAAAACTGCATGATTTAGGCAAGACCAGTTAATATATATATTTTCCCCATGCTTTACTCCCCTTAAAATGTTATAAATCAAATTTAGTCCAGGATGTAACTCACAAACATTGACCTCTCTGGAAGTATACCAGGGATTAATCTGCCCTTATGTGAGCATGTATATTTAAAAATACTTTAAATGTCTAAAGTAACTGCAGGTGATAGCAATCAAATATATCAATGCATACTCACTAGCACTAAAATAAGAGTTAAAGATACTGTAAATAATTTATCTTTCTTCAAATTATGTGCATCAACGTTATATATCAACCCAACACCGATGGTGCAAGTTCAGATCCTGTTTAGGCTCTCTGTTTATCAGTAATGTAAATCTAGCATATCATTTGGCATCTGGGGAGATTCTGCAGAGTTTAGGAAAAGACTTAGACTGGAAAAAAAATGGGATACTGCAGTCAAGTTTGACAGAGATCAGTAAAGATCACAATGATTACTGATGCTATCCTTATTTCTAGCTAATAGCATTAATTTCTCACAAAGAAACCCAGATGAAAAATATTAAAGGTGTGTCTATTTCTGAAGCACAGACATAGTCAATATAACAAAGAGATTTCACAGTTAAAGTCTTTTTTAAAATCTGAAGTGTCCTAAACAAGATCATAAAGATGCATTTTCAACTCAATTCTGTATTGGAACAAAACCCTCACCTTTGAAAAAGAACATGGGGATTTTTTACATTCTTGCAGAGTAGACAAGGCCTTAGCAAGTTCACAAAATTGCTCTGATCATGTAGTCACTTATGGAAAGGGGGAAGAATAATTCAATCCTGAAGTCAAGTATTAGGAGGCTTATGGATAAAACAATTTGAGTCTTCTTATACACCTGCAAACTGTAATCCATGAAATGTCCCATGAATATTTTTAAAAGTACCAACAGGGATTCCATGAGAGTATGCTCAGTTGCACTGACTTTTACTTTTTCAAATTAGCATCTCTCCACAGGACCTCCAAATAGTTAGTGTTGACAGTGTAAAAAAGAGAAACAAAGGTAAATCACAGTTTAATGAGGAGCAAGGCATTCATTAGAAATGAATTACACAGATGAATGCAATTCATTTTGTTGCAAATAGAAATGGATCTCTTGTAGGCAAATGGCAATATCATAGCCTGAAGCTATGTAAAGTGAATATACACAGAAGATGAAGAAGAGAACATCAGACAACCTAAAATGAAATGCAGATGGTAGCAATAAATACAAAGATGGATGCAAAAAACCCCGAACAACCCCCTCCCCCACCAAAAAACCCCCAAACCCTAGGCTTTATTTAAATCACTCTCCAATCCCCATTTATCGTGGACACATATCTCACTTTAACAAATGGCAATCTAACTGCACTATTGTTTTGGAAAAAAAAAAAAATCACATTTCCGTTTGTCTGCACACTAAGTCAGAACAGAAAGATGGTCTGTAAGAGGAGAGAGAAAAGGTGGAGGCTTGGATCAGATGGAAGGAGAAAGATTTAGAGGGACTGAAAAGAAGAAAATAAGAAATACTGATTTTTTTGAATGACTTTAGCGATTGAAAAATAAAAATGTATTAAAAGTTAAAATGATTGCAGTGAATATAGTTTTGATAAAAAGTTCTTGGTTGAAAGCTCTTCTGCAGCAAAGTGCCCTGCTTTCTTCTCAAAACAGGCACAACATAGAAACGCTACACTGTAAGGGTCTCTACACTGCTTTGCCAAATGGGCTTCTTTGCAAACTGAAGCAAACCACTTCAAGGAGCTGAAAAATTCCAGACCAATCACAAGCCAGTCAAATTGCTGGCCTTAGAACAAGACTGACAGAACCAATTGAATTTGCATAGGTTACTGAAGACACTTGCTAGTTATAACTTCCATTTCATACCAACAAGAACCGCAGGTGCACTGAGGACTAAAGCTGAGCAATTTCCTTCCAGTAAATACGAAATGTGCTGAAGAATGCAGTTTTAGGGGAGAAGAACAACTTGCGAATTAGATCCAGACTTAGCAAACACTTTTAATGCACATAATTAAAAATATAACTTAGAAAAGCTAAAACATTTTAATTAATTGGTTAAAATGTTTTCATTTAGAAACTGACCTACTTTTAGAGAAGGACAAGACAGTTTGGGAAAATCTGAACCAAATGTTACTTTGCTTTGATTCTGTTTGGGAGTTTTTGGTTTTGTTTTTAATTTTTAGGTTCAGCAACTGAACCAAAACAAACCAACCCCCAAATCCATTATTTTGCCATTCACTGGGGACTCAAAAGTATCAAGACTGTACTTCATTACCCACTCCCATGTTCTCAGCTTCAAAATTACTTCTTTAAGAATCTGTTTTCCATTCTGATTCCCAAATTTACCTTGGGAACTTTATCAGATTCTACAGGTAGGCTGAAGGAATCAACTTGCACTACATTTTTTGAAACAACATTTAAAAATAGAAGGATGCACAAGCTAAAACAACCCTCAGGAACTTTTAATTTACTCAGGTAGCCAGCTGACTTGGCAGCAGCAACATAAAATATTTTTTGTGAGTAGTCTGTTGTTCTTCCAGGTCTTTTTATGCTTATTACAATTTATCCAGTGTGTTAAAAATAAAGAGGGTCTTGGTGTATGTGTGTGTGGTCTTGAAGGCTCAGATCAAGTGCATCTCATTCCATACTCTGGTATGGGGTACTGACTCCTGCTCAGTAAAAGTTAACGTTAATGGGATCTGGGGATGGTGTATGTGCATTTGGTGCAGTTTCTAATGGGATTCCAGTTCCACCGCTGTGCTATGTTCAAAGGGACGTGTGTGACAGGAGTTTAACACAAAATGTATCTGCCCTGTGCTGTGCTAGAAGCAAAAGTAAGATGGAAACCAAAATGGGTACAAGTAGGAACTTCATGGCCAAATGCAACATGAGGTGTTGATATCAAAGCAAAAAGCATCTCTGGGGCAAAAAGATACCCAAAGCCTTGCAATGGCAATACGACTCATTGGCTTAAACCTTGTCTCCAATCATTTAAACTCTGTTGCCCATTAAGAATTGCACTGTTCCCTTATGTGGCCCTTATGTTTCCAATGAGTTGCATCTACTTATCCTGTTTCGATATATGGAATAATTCCTTCAGCCATCTACAGAAACACATTAAAATGGGTATAACAAAGTATGACATGGACTGAGCCTAGTTTAAGGGTGGGTGATGCTGGGGTTCTTTAGCCTGAAAAAAAGGAGTTCTAGAACGTGTAGCTCCCTGAGAGTGAAGAAGCATAGTTCACATGATTATCATCTAATCCCATAGAACAAGCTAAAATAAAAGGAAAGTCTACGTTTTAACATAAAGAAACTCAAAAGGCCAGGAACACGGTGGGAGTTACTTCATTGTAATGCTTGAGGAAGAAGTCAGACTTGGAGAGGCCTGGCCAACTGCCAGACAACCCATGGCTTAGGTTCACAGAGCTGGAGAGCAAAAAGAGAATGGATGTGTGTCTACCTTATGATGCTATCTCTGAAAGCAGCATGGAAAGTGAGAACGAGAAGGGGGGGGAAAAAAACCTGTACAGTGCCCAGACGGGTGGGGAAAACATCTCAGCTGAAGAAGCAATAAGGAACAGAAATAAGGAAGCCAGCAGTTGGGCTGTGTCAAGAAGTGGGCTTAGAAAGTTGTTTTGTTTGGTTGGGCCTTTGTTTTAACCCTGAAAGGCTTGTATTTGACCAAAGGATCAAAAGCACCATGAATTACAAATCTGCAGAAGGCAGCAAGAGAAGAAAAACTGAGGAAAATGGCACAAAATCTGTTGTATAAAAAGAAAAGCTTCTTGGTTACTCCAGGGAAGTCCTCAATCCTAAAGCCACATCCAGGAGTAGAGTCAGAAAATGGAAACTCCATGTCTCTTCAAAACATCCTCATACTTTAACCTAGTGTTCAGGAGTTGAATCTCAGTCCAGACTGAATGAATTAAATATTTTAAGGAGCAGAATTCAAGTGCAATTTTTTTCCATATCTGAAGCAAGAGCTGGAAAACTGCAAAAGAAAAGTGCTGTGCTCCAGATGGAAGAGAGGCAGCAGGTCTTGGATCAGTCTAAGCATGAGCTTGGCAGTGCTGTTTAGCTAATTTCTTCCTTTTCTGAAGTTTCTGGTAAAGCTTGCTTCTTAACAAAGATGCTTGACTGACAGGAAGAGGAAATTTAAATCCCTTCTTCAGGCACATTTCATATACCTGGGTAAGCCCCAACCCCCCCTGCCATGCCAATTGCTCCATTCCTAATTTCATAGTTTCATAGTTTCTAGGGTCGGAAGGGACCTGAGCAGATCATCTAGTCCAACCCCCTGCCATGAAAGGAAAGAGTACTGGGG